GTTGGCCTTAGGGTTCCCCTCCCAGCGCCCCAAATACCCGCCTTGGCCCAGGCCACTCCTCGAAGTTGCCCCCGTCACCCGAAAGCCCCCTCCCCAGCCTTGACACCCCAGCTCCCCCCCTTTTCTCCCTCGGAGGGGGGTCCCCAGGGTGCCAGGGTCTCCTGGCCTAAGGGGGTCAGGGCTGGGGGCAAGGGCTGGTTCCCCGCGGGGCGAACTGGGGGCAGCCCCCCCTGCTCCGGCAGCAGGCGCGGGGGGACCAGCGCTCCCTGGGCTCCCTCGCTCTCTCCCAGAAAAGACGCGTCGCCGATCTCTTGGCCAACTACATCCCCGAGGACGAGGCGCTGCTGCTGAGGAGCGGGAGGTGAGCGAGACCCCCGAGGGCAGCCCCCCCCTCCGGCCGCTTGCGGGGTCCTGACGGCAGCTTTCCCCCCGCCCTCGGCACAGGTACGCCTGCACTGTGTGCGCCCACCGCCCCGTCTTCGACACGCTGGACGTGCTGACGGTCCACAGGGCTGGCAAGAAGCACACGAGCAGTAAGTGGGGGACAGGCAGGGGGGTGGGCTGCGCCCAGCGAGCACGGCCCCCCGTCCCCTTCGCTCTCTTCCAGGCCTGCAGCGCTTCTACGGCAAGAAGCGCTCGCTCCAGGACGCGGCCCAGAAGCAGCGGCACGAGGAGGAGGTGCGGGCAGAGGAAGCAGGCGCACAGGTTGGTGCGGATGCCCCTTCCTCGCCCCGCTGCACCCCCCGGCCAGGCCCCCCTGAGCTCTGTCCCCTCTCCCCAGGGCTCCCCGGCCCCTCTTCTGGCGCGGACGAGGAGGATCACCCGGAGCGCTCTGCTGAAAGCCGCTCCCTACAGCAGCTGCTGCCGGAGGACGGGGTAAGACCTTTGGTTTTGCTGCAGGAGGACGGGGGAAAGCTCTGGGCTGCCCGGGAGGGACCGGCAGCGCCGTGGCCTCACCGCCCTCGGGCGTGTGTGCGATGAGGCCCTGACTCCTCCCGTTGCAGGGTGGAGGGAAGCAGCTCGCGAGCCGATGTGACCCAGACGGGGCCGAACACCGCCTTGACGCCTCCGGAGCCATCGCGGAAGGACGGAGAAGCCGTGGACGCCAGCCCTGCAGCCCTGCTGCCGGGGCATCGCGGCAGGCGAGCGGGTAAGAGCCGGCTGGCGGCTCTGGGGC